GTTAACGAACCAGTGTTGCCACTTTTCTTTGACAAAAAACATCCGAAACGGAGTCACAAAATATCTTAAATGTTAGTAAAACATCCAAATGGAAAAGAGTCACAAATTACATAGCAATTGATATGACCTACCCTAAAGAATCATGTCCTCATCTTTACTGAAGTCTGCCTTACAAAATCCACAGGATAAACTTAGCTTGGGTGATGAAGTTGAAGCTTCAGATCCAAAATGACTCTGGTATGCTTTAACTGTTCCAATTTCTTTTAATACCCAATCAGGGAGCTGATAAGTGGAACAGCCTTTTCCTACTCTTATCAGGCTGAATTTTATTGTCAAGACAGCATTTAAGATGTCAAATTTCATACTGTTTCTTAGTTTAGATTTGATAAATTCACTTCAAAGGAAAAACATATAGTAAACATCTACCATCTAAACGTCAAAAACGTCATCTAATTGCAAGGAAAAACATCTAAATCTTGATGTAAAACATCCAAAGTGGCTACAATTGGAACGAACACAAAAACACGCGAGAGAGAGAAAGAGAGAGAGAGAGAGAGAGAGAGAGAGATTTCCTACGCTTGTTCGGCTTTCAGCACAAACGGTTATACATAATCCCATCTCAAGGACTTGTGGCGTCTAGGGACGGACACGGGACGATTTACTTTTATGTGTGCTAGTACGGCAAACACAGTGTGTTGTATAATATATAGATTGTGGTCGGGACGTACCGGGTCTTCGTTTTCGTGCCACATTTGTAGTATTGTTGAATGGTTGACAAGAAGGACACACGTACATTCATGACTCATCCGTATAGTATATTTTGGTGACTTCAATTTTGTCCAGGATTGAGATCAAGGTTGATTTATAGAAAGTGGGAATGCATTTTTGAACCCTTTTATCTTAAAATAGAGGTGGTATGTCTGGCTTACGCGTTGCGAAAGCGCTTCGTAATTCCAGGGTGTCGGCTTCGATCCCAGTTTCGGGCGATTTGGCAGCTGACCACAGTGCTTTGGTTTTGACATTGGTACCGTAAGCAGTGGCAAGCTACTGAATGTAAATTGCCTAGCGAAATTACAACCAGCCAGTACATACCGGTGTTTGTTCTGTAGCCGTCTGTAACAGTGTTCCTCAACTTCTTTACATCCACGACCCACTAAAACCAATGAACTTGTTTCGCCACCCACCTGACAGCGAACCCAGTACAAGAGCATATCTTATCTAGATCTCAGTGATGTTGTTAAATTCCATGTCCCATCACCAATTTTGCAACTGATATGGCATCTATTGCTGCTCAAAAATTGAAACTATGCTTTTGAGCGGGGTTTCCAGAATATATGTGTATATATATATATATATATATATATATATATATATATATATATATATTATATATATATATATATATATATATATATATATATATATATATATATATATATATATATATATATATATATACACGCACACACTTACACCTGTATATTGTTTCACGGGCGATTTGTCATCTAATACTAAATACTTTTGATGATGGGCGTCTAGAAAGGTTCATTTAGGGTTTACTCAAATCATGCCTACCTGAAAGAAATGTAGTAGGGTAGAGCGTCTTTCAGATGTCCTACTAGTTGACAGTAACAGGCTTTCAGGCAGTATGTTCTTTCCTCCTGTTCTCCATAGCATGTCTTGTACCTTAGAATGTAGAGTTTACACCCATGCTTATCAACATGACATGGTACGCGGAATTCTCGGGCGGCCACTAGAAAATATCTGCCCAGTCATATAGCGGCTACATTGATTAACCCCCCCCCCCCCCCCCTTTTTTTTCCCCTTTCTATAAACAAAAATTGCAAGGAAATTAAGCCTTCCTCCTTTTACGATTTATGAAACTACTCATTTTTTAAATTCATCTGTCTCTGTCTCTCCACCCCCCCCCCCCCCCCCCCCCCCCCAATAAAAACATGTAAGAGGCGACTGTTTATTTAGAGGCGTTTTTTTTTTTCTCCAAAATCGGAGAGCATGTGCCTGAGAGGATAGGAACCAACAGTCTGCATACTAATAGCCAAATCTGTAAAACGTAAAAATTAAGTTCTGGAACGAGTAATGACCAGGAGATGACCGGCAACCAGAACTTTCCACCGGGATTTACAGCCGCTGAACTTTAAGAAGAGGAAATTATTTTACAATCGTAATTATACTGGATATTTACAGTCTAATCCTCAACGTTCCGGCGCCTCCGGATCTTGTCACATGGACACATTATGCAGTCAGTAGACGTGAGAGTGAGGTAGTCGAGATTTGCTTTTGTACTCCCGCCCCGGGGCGTTCGGGTTAGTGGGCAGAGTCGTGGCTGATTTATTGTCTGCGGCCCCTGGGGTGAACGGTTCAACACGTCAGGCGTTGGTCGACTGCTTCTGGTGGCTAAGGGAGGGTAAAGGTTGAAAAAAGTCCTCCAGCGTGCCTGTCGTAAAATATCACATCACCTTATCTCTTGTCTGTCTGTCTGTCTGTCTGTCTGTCTCTCTCTCTCTCTCTCTCTCTCTCTCTCTCTCTCTTTCTCTCTGTGTGTGTTTGTGTGTCTCTCTCAATGTCTCTTTTCTGTCTCCCTACGCCTCTATCCTCCCCCTCTCTCAAAAATTACACACATACAGGGTCTCCTCGACCTAGGACCGAGTTTCGTTGCGACTAACTGGCCGTAAGTCGGATTCATATTTTTCAACATTTTCATTCAGATTGGTTATAACAATTGGACATAAACCACAAGCATTCAATCTGTGTGTCAACGATGTCTTGGTCTTCTGCGCTGCAGTTACCACTTCCGAAAGCTGTGTGACTCTACCTCCAGTTTAACTGTCTTTCTTTAAATACTATTCTTATTTACTTTGTGCGTGCGCGCGCGTGTGTGTGTGTGTGTGTGTGTGGTCGTAAATGCTGATAGTCGTAAGTCGCATAGGTCATTAGTCAAGGAGAGGGTGTAATGCAGTGGTTGAGGCGGAGAATGGCAGATAAGAGAAAGACACTAACGGCTTCCACAAATGAGTTGAATGGAAGAATACCAGGAGGCGAACCAAAATGTCGGGAGAAATTCTACTGCATTGCAAACACATGGAGCACAGTCGCCGGAATCTGGGTGCTCAATGCCGTCCCTCCCCCGGCAGTTCATAGAGGAGTAGGGTGTTGAGTGTTAAGTGGTTCTCCTAACCATGTGCAGACGTTTCTTTTTAAGCATTTTAAATACTTTTCCGATAATATCAGATATATTGCATTTCTTCATCATCGTCATCATCCTCATCTTTTTCTTCTTCTTCTCCTTCTTCTTCTTCTTCTTCTTCTTCTTCTTCTTCTTCTTCTTCTTCTTCTTCTTCTTCTTCTTCTTCTTCTTCTTCTTCTTTTCTCTGTTCCTGGAATGCCTCGCGGCATCAGAGCAGGAAGAGATCCACGGAACGGGCCCATCTGTTGGCTTCGTATAAAGTACTTTTCAGTGTCTCTGATATTTTTGCGGCCCATATTTATAAAAAAAAAAAAAAATTATAGCAGAAGGCATGGTACCAGGAAGTAGGAGCATGGATATGACTCCTTGAGTGTGAAAGTGCATGAGGCGGCAGAACTGGCGAGAGACCGAGTTTCTTTCAGGCAGACTGTGATGAGAGCGATGTTCTGCAAAGGACCTGCTACATGATGATGATGATATTCTGCGTGGTCGAACTCTGGCTCTGTTACAGTTGTATCTTTATATCATTGTTCTCTGTGGTATCCTTTCCGATGCAAATTTGTCATCCAGCACATAGTAACTATTACTGTGCACTTAAACAAGACCTGAACACACCCCCCCCGTCCCTAAAAAATTATGAGTACTGAGTGCCATATTATTGTGATTATTACTTTTATTATTATGATTTTAAGCCGTAAGGGGTCCGGGTCCCGTTGTGGAAAAACAATAGACCCACTGCCTCCCCAGCAAGCATGTCGTAGGAGTCGACTAATTGGGGGCATCCTTTGAAGTCGGACTACATCTGCCTGAAAAACAGAGAACCAAGAGTCTGCATACAAATAAGATAGATCGGTGAAACAGATGTGCACACAACACTAGGTTCTGGAACAAGACGGTGGGGGTGAACGTAAACCTTTAACTTTTCTCCGGAGTTTACAACCGATTAACTCGAAGAAGGCGACGAATTATTATTACTATTATTTTTTATTATTATCGTGCACCTAAACAAGAATTGAATAATGCTGCTAAGGAATTACGAGAACTCTTAAGTAATCTAACTCCTCTCTGTGAAGCTTTGCTGCCTTGCTCTCTAGCGTAGTTGGCTAAACCGGATTGCGTGGTGACCGGGTGACGAACTCCTTGTGGTCCTAGTTCACTCCCGGGGGTAGGCAGAAAAGCCACATTTCTCCCAGATTTACGGTATTTACAATGGAATTAAGGCCGAAAGGTTGCGATATCCATTATACCGAGCCTAAGGGTTAACAACTCATGGCTTCTAAATACTGGAAAAAAAAAAAAAAGCTTTGCCCCATAAGCAGTAGGACAACAGAAGAAAGACCGCTTTTCATCTGATCTCAGTGTTCAAAGGCGATTTTCTAGAAATAAATAATTCAGCACTTTGGCATCTTGCCATCGAATGGTGTTTTCCTGTCACTGAGATCCCCTTTTGTTTTGCACAGTTTGTGGATGCTACAGTGCTTGTGTCGGCGTCTGTGGCTGCTACAGTGCTTGTGTCGGCGTCTGTGGCTTAGGCGTTGCGAACGCGTTTCGTAATGCTGGGGTGCCGGGTTCGATCCCAGCTGCGAGTCTTGCGCCTTTCGTTGGTTTCGACAGTGGCATCGAGAAGCCGACCGTCCAGTGGCAATTGCAAACTACTGGTCTAAACTTGCCTGGAAAAACAACAGCTAAAAAAAATTGCTGGGTTGGTTCTGCAAAGTCCTGTAAAGGATACGCAGCTAACTTTAACAGTGCTTTTGAACGTTTGCTAATACATTTTTCGCATGCATCGTTTCAGGTCAGTGTCAGCCGAGGAATATCAAATTGTCACACTATCACTCCAGCTCAGAGAGGAATATCAAATTGTCGCACCAGTAGTCGGGCTGTCACTCCAGTCGAAACAGAACACGTCAGCAGTGTCCCCACATCAAACCTGCGGGCGACGACCATCCGCAGTAGCGTCAAAGGAAGTCATGCAAAGTTAAGTGCAGCCAAGGTTGAACTGGTGATACCTTCGCCCATGCAGCATCTACTGATAAAGGTTAGTGATGTGTAGCAACAGCTGTGTTAGTTAGTCTTTCCTATTGAGCCTACGGGCGGCGCATAGGGCAGAGGTCATAGCTCTCCATTTCTCGCGATTCGTCGCCACCTGTTTTACGTCTTGTATGTTCATTATGCCATGGTTCAGCCTTCCCTGATGATGGTTCTACGTAAGATCTCTTTTGGTCTTTCCCGTTTTCTCTCCCCCCCCCCCTTTCAAATGAGGGCTTGATGGGGGGGGGGGGGGGGGAGTTTGAATGCATGACCGATGTAGTTCCATCGGCGCTTTCTTATAAAATTGAATACAGCTGTGTGGCTGTTACTTTTTGTTTCTTATTACTGTTTCGCTGTGCTCTCTGTTCGTTACTGTGTATTCCGTGTTATTTTTTGGTTGTGCTCTGTGTTTCTCTGTTGTTGTTATTTTTTTTAGGTGCGCCTCTGTGGCTTAGAGCAAAACTATCCAGCTGACGACCTTCGGGTTCAATCCAGAGGTGACTCAGGCATCATTGCCACTTCTTCGTCTACCCATTCACTCCACCATCCACACGTGCCGTTTTTTTTCCATCTATCTCTCCAACGCTCCTTTACATTCTGGCTGTTACCAGCTTTGTACTTGGGTTCGACTAATACTTTGTATAAAAATCACCCTTACTGTCTCTATTTGATGGCTGACAGTAAGAGAGAAGCACTGTGTTACTAGACTCATGTTTTTACTTCATTTCATATTTGGTCGATCCATCCATTTACCATTCCATTCATCCACTAATACAGCCATCCATCATTCCATCTATTATCTATCCCTGGACACACTCATCCATTCACTCCACCATCCACACATGCCGTTTTTCCATCTATCCCTTCATCGCTCCTTTACATTCTGGTTGTTACCAGTTTTACTCTCGGGTTACTTTGTATAACAAGCATCCTCACTGTCTCTGCTTGATAGCTGACAGTAAGAGAGAAGCATCTTATCACGAGGTCCCTGTTTTTACCTGATTCTATATATTAGCAATTCCATTCATCCACTAATATAGCCATCATTTACCCATCCACTCATCTACCCACCCATCTATCCCACCACCCATTCGCCCACTCACCCCACCATCCACCCTAGCTATTTTTCCATTGCTCCCTTACATTCTGGTTTTTTTTTAAACCAGTTCTGCGTTCGGTTCGACTGATATTTTGTATAACAATCACCCTTACTGTCTCTATTTCATAGCTGACAGTAAGTGAGAAGCATCGTGTCTTGAGACCCTTGTTTTTACCTGATTTCACATATCGGCCAATCCATCAATCTACTATACTTTCCATCCATCCACGAGTATAACTATCCATCATTTCGTCTGTTTGTCTACCCGCCCATCTATTGCACTACCCACTCATCCATTCACCCCACAATCCACGATATGTCTATCTATCTATCTATCTATCTATCTATCTATCTATCTATCTATCTATCTATCTATCTATCTATCTATCTATCTATCTATCTGTCTGTCTGTCTGTCTGTCTGTCTGTCTGTCTGTCTGTCTGTCTGTCTGTCTGTCTGTCTGTCTGTCTGTCTGTCTGTCTGTCTGTCTGTCTGTCTGTCTATCTGTCTGTCTGTCTGTCTGTCTGTCTGTCTGTCTGTCTGTCTGTCTGTCTGTCTGTCTGTCTGTCTGTCTGTCTGTCTGTCTGTCTGTCTGTCTGTCTGTCTGTCTGTCTGTCTGTCTGTCTGTCTGTCTGTCTGTCTGTCTGTCTGTCTGTCTGTCTGTCTGTCTGTCTGTCTGTCTGTCTGTCTGCCTGCCTGTCTGTCTGTCTGTCTGTCTGTCTGTCTGTCTGTCTGTCTGTCTGTCTGTCTGTCTGTTGGTATTCATTCGTCAGCACAGGCACTACTTTTATTCCATGAGATGGACCAATGTCATCCCCACGACCCAACCCGGGTCACGCCTTATTGGCCAACCCCTCCCTCCCTCTTTAGACGCTCAGTGTACGCTATTTGTGGGCGTCTACTCCGTCTATTTCCTAGTTTTAGTTAACCCGGTTTTTGCACCCCGTCCGTGCGTTGGTGATAAATACGCCGGTACCTGTCCTTGACATCCTTTTGAAGGAAGTTTTTCGCCAGGAACACAGATGAGTATCATTTATTGTGTACATCAGTCCCATGTAGTCACTTCATAGTTAGAGCATATTTATGTATGTGTTCTGTATTGTTCTTCATGTGCCGATGAAGGCTAATCGCCGCAACGTCCTTTGTTCGTTTATTGTGATCGATTTTGTAAAGCTAACATAAACTGTTTGTTGTTTCTTACCAACTTTTTTTTCTTCCCTATAATTTTCTACTCCTTTTAAAAACTTATTGTATTAATGATCTTCCTACGCTGGGACTGAGGCCTTTGGTCCGAAGCGATCCGTATTTTCAACATTTTAGCCCCTGGGTAAACTTAGTTGAATAGCCTGGTTTAGAGGTTAGGAAAATTCTTTTCCCAGTGCCGTCCTGGGCGTTAACCAAGGTTGGGTTCCCGCAGTGGGCGGCTGAGAAAAATACTATTCTCGTCAGAGCTGCCACTGATGGGTTTTTACCCCCAGATCTGGGTTTTTGTTTGACTTCTTGGGTTCACATTTTGAAATCTGGGGTTTACAAAATATATATCCTCATATAAAAATGGGTAAATATTTCATTTCGTAACTATAAAATTTGTACTTTTTAACAATCTAGGTTGAAAAATTTTTTAAAATATTTTTTGGGGGGCCTTTGTATTGCTTGGGTTTTTGTTCAGCGGAGCTGGGTTTTTCAAAAAAAAAAAAAAAAATATCCTATTGACAGCCCTGGTTCTCGTGGCTTTCAGTCAGTGCTTGGAGAATCCGACTATATCAGAGTGTCTAACTGTGCAGCAGATCTCGCACTAGCGCGGGTGTAAATTGTTAAAAGTGCTGCTCTAGTCACGTCCTTAACATAACCTACGTATCTGATAACATGCAGTGATGGCCTGAAAGATGAGAGCCTGGAACGGCCGAATGTAAGACTGGCCTGCGTGCCCAGTTTGTACCCCTTTGAAAATAAAGTGAATTCGTTCGTTCCTTCAGGTTACACTCGGTTTGTGTAGCCCAGGGCTCCTCAGCTAAGTTTGTTCGCGGGCCAAAAAGTAGCCGTTACAGGCACCCATATTATGACTTCTTTCACGGTTGAATGGGAAGTCTGGGATCTGCTGTGTGGGTCGGATGTTGACCACCTCACCCACCAAGTACCGATTGGTCTATAAAACATAGGTCTTTCCGTGTATGCCCAATACGCATGTAGGTGTGGAAAGGGGTCCCTCTAAATTTATTTAACTTTCCTAATTAATACCCCCCAAAAAATCTTCAAGCACATCCGTGAATTTAAAACGAAAAAGTTGCGTGGGGAAAGAAATGGAAAGTGCGAAATTGGCATTTCACATCTTGCTGCATTGCTGTTTGTCCTCTCTAGGATTGCAATCCTCGGCTTTAACACCCCAAGGTTGAGAATCCTACTTGTATAAATCTTGATAAGCTTGATTCAACGGTAAGGTTATGTTGGAGCCCCTAACGGTTACAAAGTAACCCGAAGTTAGGACCAGGAGGGGATGCGCATTCCACCTCATTTTTTTAAATAGAAAATTAGAAGAAACTACCCTATGATAAGCATTAAATAGAAAATTAGAAGAAACCACCCTATGATAAACATTAAATAGAAAATTAGAAGAAACTACCCTATGATAAGCATTAAATAGAAAATGAGAAGAAACTACCCTATGATAAGCATTAAATAGAAAATTAGAAGAAACCACCCTATGATAAGCATTAAATAGAAAATGAGAAGAAACTACCCTATGATAAGCATTAAATAGAAAATGAGAAGAAACTACCCTATGATAAGCATTAAATAGAAAATTAGAAGAAACTACCCTATGATAAGCATTAAATAGAAAATGAGAAGAAACTACCCTATGATAGGCATTAAATATAAAATTAAAAGAAACTACCCTATGATAAGCATTAAATAGAAAATTAGAAGAAACTACCCTATGATATGCATTAAATAGAAAATTAGAAGAAACTACCCTATGATAAGCATTAAATAGAAAATTAGAAGAAACTACCCTATGATAGGCATTAAATAGAAAATGAGAAGAAACTACCCTATGATAAGCATTAAATATAAAATTAAAAGAAACTACCCTATGATAAGCATTAAATAGAAAATTAGAAGAAACTACCCTATGATATGCATTAAATAGAAAATTAGAAGAAACTACCCTATGATAAGCATTAAATAGAAAATTAGAAGAAACTACCCTATGATAGGCATTAAATAGAAAATTAGAAGAAACTACCCTATGATAAGCATTAAATAGAAAATTAAAAGAAACTACCCTATGATAAGCATTAAATAGAAAATTAGAAGAAACTACCCTATGATAAGCATTAAATAGAAAATTAGAAGAAACTACCCTATGATAAGCATTAAATAGAAAATTAGAAGAAACTACCCTATGATAAGCATTAAATAGAAAATTAGAAGAAACTACTCTATGATAAGCATTAAATAGAAAATGAGAAGAAACTACCCTATGATAAGCATTAAATAGAAAATTAGAAGAAACTACCCTATGATAAGCATTAAATAGAAAATGAGAAGAAAGTACTTCATGATGAGCAGAGGCAACAGGAGTATACCGGCCATCGTTATAGTTCCCATTCAGCAAGTGTTTCGGCCCCTTACCCCTCCAGATTTGCATTCTATTTCAGTAACATTCTCAATTACGAGAATCATACAGCTTTACATCTGTTGGCCCGTTTTTATTTTTAATTAATGGACGGGAAAGCCCACTCGTCTAAAAACTGTCGACGACCCAGATGCAAAGAATTGTTAATCGACTGTTGAATACTAGGGTATATTCTTGTGTGTAATTTAAAGTTTCACTCATTAAATTACAAAGGTTTTGAATGTCAAAATTATTTTCCTTTCAGTAACTATGCAAATTCCCGAAATCCCCC